CACACACACGCGCGCGTACACACACACACACACACGCGTGCACGCACTCGCGCCCACCCTGCCAGTCTTGAAGGTCTTGATGGCGAAGAGCTTGCGGCTGCCATCACGCGCTGCCGCCAGGTATACCAGGCCGTAGGTGCCCTCCCCAATCTTGCCCAGGATCTCGTAGCGCAGGGCCAGCGACGCGGCGCCAGACGTGCCGCCGGGCGTCGCCGTGGGCGCAGTCGCTGCCGCTGTGCCCGCAGCAGTCGCGGCTGCCGAGCCCGCGCCGGCCGTGGGCGCCGTCAGCTGCTGCTGAACCGGCGCGCCGCCCACGCTTGGGGCCCTGGAGGCTGGCCCAAGCGGCACGCCGCCCTGCAGCCACGGCTGCTGCTGGGAGGCGAGCGGCGCTGCCGCCTGCCATGCTTGGTGGCGCTGGTGCGGCTGCATCCCTCGTCCTGCTCGGCCCCCTCACGACCCAGCGGCAGCGGTCGTGCAGCGCCGAAGGACTGGCTCATGCCGTTGCCGCTGCAGCGCGACGCCGGCAACCAGCAGCGCCGTGTGGCGCAGGCAGTCGGTGCAGCGACGAACGAAGTGCAGTGCAGCGGAGCTCGGTGCAGGCAGTGAGCGCCCCAGGGGATGCCGCAAGCAGTGGGATGTTCAGACTCCAACAGGTGATGTTGAGGTGCAGCACTCAATGTGTGTGATTGACAATATCGACTAAGTTACAGATCTAGACCGTCGACAGGTGACTCGTCAGACTGCGTCCTCAAAACGAGGCAAGCAGAACGGCAAGCGAATCAGTAATCGTAAATAGACTCGGAGCAGGCGATGTCTGCGCCAGTATCATACCGGACGATACGATACCGTAGGACCGCTTGCGGCTTGCCAGACATGGCCGCGCGCGGCAGCTGCTCACGCCTGGCTCAGCTGACTGTCTGGCCCTGCGATAGCCTTGAGCTTGATGCCGCCAGAGAAGGCACACTTTCACTGCTGCATACAGCGGCTGTCAATCTGGGTGACAATAAAGATGCACCAAAATCATAGCACCTGTGCGGCACGGCCCGTGCCGCGCGTGCTGCAGGGCTGGGCGTCAGTTTGCTTTTGCCCATGGACGCAGAAGGCTCCAGTATCAACAGCAGCGCACAACAATAATCTCTTAATTTTTCATTCCCATGGCCACTCACTGTTCTCGTCGCTGGTATGTGTACGCCTGTCTCAGAGATCCAAGTCTTACAGAGGACTCGCCCAAGCCGCCCAGGTCACAGCGCCGTGCTCTGGACGCGCCGCACCTCAGCCTCCATCTCAGCCAGCCGGGATGCCATGCGGTCCACCAGGCTGGCCGGCCCCCGCGTCGGCGTGGGCGCTGCCGCTGCATCCCTCAGTGCTAGGCGGTGTGCTGCCAGGGCCTTGCGTAGCTCTGTGGGACGATGCACCCGCCATCGCAGTGAGGAGGGAGCGCTCTGCCAATGCCCACCACGGACTGTAACAATCGAGATGCCTGGCCTGCAATCGCTGCCGAGGTGACTGCCAGCGCAGGCGAGCCCGTCCCCCCACCCCTGCTCGCACTAGCGCACACACCATCAT